TATTTCTTTTTTATTTCTTTAGATATATAAATTATAATTAGTTGGATAACTAATATATTAGTTATTTATTAAACTACAATTCCTTCCATTTAAAATTTTGGGACATTTAACACAAATATTTTTTGAATTCAATAAACCACATTCTTAGCATGATTCAGTAATCACCATGAAGTTCATACAGTTAAATATTTTATAATTTGAAGAAAAAGATGTAATCATTTATAAATATAAAGGGTAGCTATATCCTGACTCACATACAGTACAGAAAATTTCACTATCAGAACATCTTAACATCAACCAATTTAGGTACAGAATTTGATAAAAAATTTTTTATTATAAATTTATGAACTTTAAATTCTGTATCAATAGCTGCTTTATTTTGAGCACTGTTGCAATTCTCCAATGATCTTTAGTAAATTTTTTATTTATAACAACTCAAGTAATATTAAAATTGATTGACATAATTAACATTAACCTATTTTTTTTCTGTGGCTAATTATTCAATCACACAATGTCTATAACGCACATTTTAACATCCATCTGTAAAAGAATAAACAATTTATCCTTATTGATAGGGTCCAAATAAACAAACTTATTAAATCAATCCATAATCAATCTCAATAAACCATTGGCATGTATCATTTTTTCCTTCACTACATATATTATAATTTAAAAAAAATAATAGTCATCTTTACACTTTCCACATTAACTAGTTATTTAATCTTCATAGGGCTGAAAAATATAGTCTAAAGAATTTATTGTGTAATCCAATTTAGAAGTTTCAAATGCATACATCCAATTTTCTATTATATTTCTTTTGCAATCCTTACCATTTAATGATAAATAATATAATTAATTATTAATACAATTTTAAAATTACATTATTTTATATTCTTCTGAATATTTACAAGTTTTACAAAAATCGCCACAACTATTGCATTTCCCATTTTTAAGCCCAAAGCCTATTTCACAATTTAAGCAAATTGTTAAACTTTAACAATTTTAACTATATTTTAGGCATTGTAAACAAGATTTTTAAACTACTTATAGATAATAGCCACTCTAGCATTCAAGACAATTATATTAATTTTAATTTACATTACCACAGGCACTATCTAATAATTTACAGCTTTTGTTTGTATAATAAAGATTTTTCTTTTATAATACTCTATTAATGTTATACTCCTATTCGTAAAAAATTTCCGATTATATTTAAGTGATATCAGAAAAATCATAAATGCCATCTATTTATATTAATTGTCTTTGTAATACAAATCATTTTGTTTGAATATTTTAAATTATTATAATCTAAAATTAGATCTTATTTATTACATAGAGGCACCCTAATCTTATCTTACTTATTGTGTTATAAAATAAGTTTAACATAAAGGTCTTTTCAACCAATTTCTTTAATCCAATATAAATTCTACACAAAATAAATTATATGAATTCCATTAAAGACTAAATAATTAGGCATCCAATAATGATGACATGTTACATTATATCCACAATAATAGCTTTCGGGTAAATCCAGATTTGCTACAATTTTTAATATTGCATCACCAGCTCTACCCAAATAGCTTTCAAAAATTTCCGATCCAACCAATAAATACTATTTTAATAAATAAGCATTTTAATTATAATACTTAGCCCAACCTAAAATACTAAATTTTCTGCCAAATTAATCAAATTCAAATTCTTTTTGGAGGAATCCATCGAAATTGGGGAGATCGGGGATTGTGCTGGTTTTTTATTCATATTCATAAATTCTTTTATTATATATATCTTCAAATTTTTAATCTGAAAAAGTTGTGATAATCATCCTCTCAAAATTCCTAAATTATATTATTCATTAATCTTAAGTAATTAAATATTGAATTACAGTTACTGTTCCTCCAATATAAATTTGTAATTTAGTTAAATTTTATTTTAGATTAAATTCAAATTAAATCTCTTCTATTTCTCCTGATGTTTGATAATTAATTGTTTATTAATATAGAGTTATCAAATTTAATATCCATATTTCTTCATATTCAGAGCAAATTATGAATTGCATAGTTCAAATTATTACATTTGTATTCATAAATATAAAATCTTATTCTCCTCTGAATTTTTAATTAAAAATTAATACCTATGATTCCAATACATCTCATTATAAAAAATTTTCACTTATACAAATGACAACACTTTCTAATATACCTTACAATAACTCTAAAATTCAATTTGAATTGGGTAATTTATGTTTTCTACTTCTCTTTATCCAATCGGATTTAAAATACTTACAATTGCTGCATAAATTAAAAGCAATAAACTAAATAAAAAATTTTAGCTAAATAAAGAAATGAATTTAAATCTAAATATCTTTTATATAGAGCTAATTATTTAATATTAATTTTTATAAATATTATTATTTATTCTGTTGCAGTTTATAAACTCCAATTTTTTATATTATCTTTGATATTTTTTAAAATTATTTCATATCAATAGTTGATCCTCTTAATTAAAAAATTTGCAATAAATCATCAAGATAATGATTTAATTTTGATTTTAAGATATTTTATTGTCATTATTTTTCATTTTTGATGTTCTATAAACCTATGCTCACAAACCTATATATATTAATGGAACTAAAACAGTAATTGCTTTTAATTTATATCTGTTTAATTCATTCAGTTTACAAATAAAATTCTTGAATTCCTCCAGCTAGAATTAGTCAATAACTTTTACCTCAATTGCTAAATTTATAGTTACTAATTCTTATAATTCTTAGTTTGTTAATCTATTATTCATTCTTCAAAATTATTTTTAGAATTCTACATTATATCTTAAAACTCATAATTAAAAAACAAAGGATATATTTGAAATCATTGAAAATGATGTTTTATCTTTTCATTTATTATTGCATCAAAGTAGATTGATTTTGTCTCCATATCTGTTTTTAATTTGAATTTCAAAGAAATTATTATGTCTATTTGAGTAGGTTTCTAATTTTATAAAATATAAAAAAAGGCATTTTTTGGAAATTTTTTGATGAGAATAAGATGGAAGATGATTTTATTAATCGTTTGGATTACAAAAAACTAGAATAATTAAGATGAATTTATTCAAAATTCCAGGATGTAAAATTAATATATTTTGATTTTTTTCTATTTAATATTATCAAAGAGAATATATAATTAAGAGATTTTTCAAATATATAAGTATATGAGTTGAATATAAAGTAAGAAAATATTACTCCAAGATAAAGTTGGAATATTCGAACTTTTTTAATTTATTTAATTCATAAAATAAAAATAGCTAAGGTTAATAAAATAGATTTTGAAATAATTTAATGCCCACTTTATTAAGTTACAGATCAAAAGAATTTAGTTACAATTAAGATTAATTCTAATCTAATTTTTATATTTTTGCATAGTTAAAATCGTCAGTATAAGAATAATAAATGGAAAAAGGATTCAAATTCCTTTTTAATTTCAAAGGGAAAAATTAATTACTTGAAAATTTTAATGATTTATGCAAGTAAGATTTTTTAATGGGAAATTTGGTGAGCATAAGACTATTTACTAGCAAATTAATACCATAATGAATCCATTTTATATGTGGATCACATAAGTGACCTTTAAAAATTTTTAGAGTCCCAGAAAATTTAAAAAAATTAGCCATTCAATGAAAAATGTCTAATTTATGTAGTTTTAGTATCATTTTCAAATTTAAATAATCTCTATTAACTCAAAAAACATCTCAAAATAATTTTAAAGTTTCCCATATATAAAAGATCTATAGTAATCCAAAGTTTCATTTAGTACATCAAACAAAACTTTATTAAAAATATACTCTAATTCAATTAAAAATCCATCATCTTATGAAGTTTAACATTCTTCCATAAGTTAATTCTCCAATTTTGCATATTATTCTGGAGATAAAATAGCTTAATTTGAGTAGTCCTGCTCACTGGATTAATAATCGTCTTCTTCATCATAATAATCAAAATATTTCAAGATTTCCTTTGGATTTGGTCCTAAAGAATATTTATTCTTTAGATTAATGCTACTTTCTTATTTGATTTTAATAAAAATTATTCTAATCTTATTAAATAGGTTTTAACTTATTAAATATTTGACTTGATTCCTTTAAATTCTGGTAATTTATTAATCCTGTTATATCTTTTTTAAACTCTTCTAATTCTTCATACATATTTTGAATTTCATTTTCATATATCTCATTTATTTATCTTCTTTCTATTATTGATGTTGAGAAGGAAAATACATTTTGAAACTTTCTGATATTTTATGGTTCGCGGATAGAAGTACTTAAATTCGCAGTTAGAGTGTCAAAATTACCAGTTTTTACTATTTTTGATTAAGATCCTGTATTTGATTCTCTAATTAAACTTATGTTTTGAGAAGTTCCCTAAATTTTTAAGATGCAAAATCATAAAATGTTTTCCTATACAAATAAGAAAACACCTTTAATAGCAGGAGATGTAGTTTATGATAATTTTAATAAATTTTTGATCTCATCATTTATCTGATTTCATTTATCTTAATTGATGATAATAATAATAGTATCGATAATAATAATAATAATAATTATTATTATTGTTATTAATTCTCCTTCTTTACATTATCTTTATTAATTTCTCCATAAATCTTTTGCAACTTTCAAAACTTTCTTAATATCTTATTTTGAACCTTTTCTTTATAGTTATGAAATCTGTTCTAACATAAAATGGAATTATAATTTTTAGTTTATTTCTTAATAGATGATTTTTTTATGAACTAAAATTATTTCTTTTTATTATCTCAATCCAAATTCGTTTTTATCAATTTTCCTCTTTAATCCACTTTATTCTTTCCCTAATCAACTTAAAGGTTCCAAATAAGATTATGTCTAACTCAAGTTTCGTATTATGATATAGTTGAATTTGTAATAGAATGAATATATTTTTAAATATAATATAAAATTTTAAATATATTGTTTAGAATCTATCATAACTTAATCTAATTCTAAACTATAATTGATTCATCTTCACAAGAAACTTCTTATAATATCATAATACATATGTTGTCTTATAACCTCTCCAAATTTCTTGTTTTAATATTGATGCCTTAATTATTTATGGTATTTCTTTTTCTAGGTTTTCCAATTATTTTATTTGTTATTCCTCATCTTCATCTAAAAAAGACTTAGATATAATAACAGTTTATTTTAAGTGCTTTTGTGATTTGAATCCATTTAAGAAATAATCACTATCTAATACTTAATCAAAGCAACTTAAATATCTCTTGTATCTTTATTAATTTTAGCTTACCTATTGGCTATATTTAGATATTT